CTCAAAATCAATCTAATAACTGATAAGGAGGAGGTAACTATTTGTGTGGTGTGTGTCACTTTAATGAGTACTTCATCAGCATACTCTGCTACTTTCTAGCATTCTTGATTGGTGATGTCCCGAACTGTTCGCCAAACGGTTCGCGAACGGTTCTCCACGAACGGTTCGCCACAGACTTATCATTGAGTAAACTTTGACCCTGTACCTCACAGTCAGCAGACACATTCCAGCCAATCAGCAGCAGACCCTCCCTCCCAGACCCTCCCACCTCCTGGACAGCATCCATTTTACATTCATTGTGAAGCTGCATTCTTAGTGAGCTGTCCAGGAGGTGGAGGGTCTGGGAGGGAGGGTCTGCTGCTGATTGGCTGGAATGTGTCTGCTGACTGTGAGGTACAGGGTCAAAGTTTACTCAATGATGAGTCCGTGGCGAACCGTTCGTGGCGAACCGTTCGCGAACCGTTCGGCGAACAGTTTGGGACATCACTATTCTTGACCTATTTAAAATCTTTTAATGGATTGTTTTTCTCTTATGAGATGCAATAAGGGCTCTAATAAGAGAGCAAATAAAACTGGAGAAAGGGGACAACCCTGCCTGGTCCTGTTAGCGATCCTGACAGGCATCCTTTGAGAACTCGGGAGTCGAAGCTAGGCTTGTAAATTAGAGTATAATGCCCTAATAGCCTAATAGTCATGATGATCCAATATGTAAAATAGATATGGCCATGCAAACAATACAGACGTGTCTTCTCTGCATCCAATGAAAAGAGCAGAGAAGACATGTTTGTGGTTTTGGCCCTCCATGCCAAGTCAACAATCCATTGTGTATTTTTATATACACGATGGATTGTTGACTTGGCATGTAGTGCCAAGAGAATGAAACCCACGTAGCCTCTGTGGATCAAAGTAGGGAGGAACTGGATCAGTCATCTTGCCAGTACATTGTCTAATAAAGTGTCTACATTGATTAAGGAAATAGGTTTGTAATGACTATCATGGGGTCTTTGTCTCCTTTGGAAAGTAGAACAGCATTGGCTACTGTCATAATAGGGGGGAGAGAACCAGGCAGATGGGCTATATTGAAAACTTCTAGAATGTGGCGGATCAAAGTCCCTCAAAAGATTTTATAGTAACTTCCACTATATCCGCCCAGACCAGGTAGCCTTCCTTCTTTAAGGGATGATATTACCAATAGGACCTCATCTTTTAAACGTAAACATGGTCTCCGGGTACTCCACCAGAACTTCTGAGATTGGGGGGACTTTGAGCGGTTAAAAAAATCCAACTGATTTACTATTTATCATCAGAATGATAGTAGTTGTGATTGTAAAGTTGTGAATAAAAGTCCCTAAAAGCTTTGTATATTTCCTCTGAGGAAGACACCATAGAGCACTGGGCAGACTGGACTACAGTAAAGCATTTATAAAGCGCCAACATATTCCACAGCACTGTACAATTGGGAAAAAGACGAACACAATAATAACAGACCGATACAACAGGTAGAGGACCCTGCCCGTGAGCTTACAATCTAAATGATCAGCTTAGACTGTTGTTGAGGGTAGAGGTAGCGAGGTAAATGGGTATCTATTCTGTTTGCCCTTTTATAAAAAAAACAACCCATCTGGATAACTTCATCTTCCAGGCCATATTGTCTTTACCTTGATCTGAGAATGAATCGCCCTCAGTTCTGTCAGTGTCTTATCGAATGGGGCTATCTTGTGCTTCAGTCTTGCTTGGTGCTGTCTGAAAAGAGAACACTGTTTAATGCTTTTTCTTTTTCTTAGGAGAGACCATTTTAATCAAAAGACCAGTTATCACTGATTTGTCTGGAAACCACATCATCACCTTATCTACATCCAGAGTACTATTTTCAGTAAAGTAATTTGTTAGTGCTTGGAAAATCTATGCTTTGACTTCTGGATCTCTCAGTAATGACCATGCGTTTCTCCGAACAATTTATTTCAAATATATCACAATATCAGCATGGTCTCACCAGGTTATATTATTAATTTCAGTCCTGCTAACATACCGGACAAGTTTTCTGTTGGCAAAGAATAGGTCAATTCCTGAATATGTGCCATGCAAGGCAGAAAAAAATGAGAAATCTATTGTTTTGAGGTGCTGAATCCTCCACATGTCTATCAGGTCACAGGAGTCTATAAATGTATTGAATAATTTATCTTGTGCTCCTGTCTCCTGCTGCACATGGGGACGCATTGCAATACCCCCAATCAACAGAAGATTGTTCAGTAAGGTCCTTGCTATCCATTCTATCTCTTCCAAGAAACTGGAATCAGGAACATTAGGTGCGTATATATCGAATAAGTGTATAATTTGAGATCCCAATGATCCAGACACGTAGCGTCTTTCCCTAGGTTAAAATTGCTGGTTATATCATTTAAAGCTAGTTATCTTAACTATCTGGTCTATATTTTAATAGTCACTTTATGAGTTTTTCATTAAAGTATGAATTGCTGGGAATTCAAAATGCATTGAATGTGAATACCAAATTTAAGGACACAATTCTAGAATGTGAAAAAAATCTACAAGTCAACTATATTTTCATTTTGGCTATTGTGCCTATAATGTGCTGCTTAAGTCCTCCAAAAAAATCATACTTTAGTAAATAATCATTTAAGTCGGGATTTGAAGGGAAAAGTCAAGGGAATTGCAAATTATAATTATTTTAAAAACAGGGCTAGTTTTGTTTTAAATAATGCAATTGTCTTGTCTTTTCCCGATAATTCCCAACTTAAAGGGACACTATAGTCATGAGAACAAGTACAGCTTAATGGTGAGTATAATTATTATATGCAGGCATTTTCATGCAAAAACTGCCTTTTCAGCATCACTATTTTCCAAAGTGCGTCACACATGCACTGCAGAATAATTTTCCCACATTTCCCTGCATATAAATGAACATTCAGAAATCACATGAAAATCAGAGGACATATGATATTTGCATTAAATGCCAGGCTATGCAACTGAGGAAAATACAATTATATAAAAGTTAAGTTAAAAATAGCACAACATATAAGGCAACTTTTGCTTGTCTATAGAATGTACCATTACCGCAACTTTGTTCGTTTTAAACTGACTCACGTGTAAGTTGTAAAGTTAAAGGGACACTATAGTCACCTGAACAACTTTAGCTTAATGAAGCAGTTTTGGTGTATAGAACATGCCCCTGCAGCCTCACTGCACAATCCTCTGCCATTTAGGAGTTAAATCCCTTTGTTTATGAACCCTAGTCACACCTCCCTGCATGTGACTTGCACAGCCTTCCATAAACACTTCCTGTAAAGAGACCTCTATTTAGGCTTTCTTTATTGCAAGTTCTGTTTAATTAAGATTTTCTTATCCCCTGCTATGTTAATAGCTTACTAGACCCTGCAAGAGCCGCCTGTATGTGATTAAAGTTCAATTTAGAGATTGAGATACAATTATTTAAGGTAAATTACATCTGTTTAAAAGTGAAACCAGTTTTTTTTTTCATGCAGGCTCTGTCAATCATAGCCAGGGGAGGTGTGGCTAGGGCTGCATAAACAGAAACAAAGTGATTTAACTCCTAAATGACAGTGAATTGAGCAGTGAAATTGCAGGGGAATGATCTATACACTAAAACTGCTTTATTTAGCTAAAGTCATTTAGGTGACTATAGTGTTCCTTTAAAGATTTTGATAGTTAACAATTGTGAGCTTTCATATGCTGAATGGAGATGCTTTCATGCAATGAAATTAGCCAGATTGCAATTAGTGCCTTAAAACTCAGTACTCCAGTGACATAAATAACGATACATTATTGTAAATGTAGGCAGAGAACTTGTAATGCTACTATCGTACGTGCTTTGTTGCTCACATGAAATTGATAAAAATTTCTCCTGTATCTTATGAGGAACAAGATGCAAAGAGTTTCTCGTGTTTGTTCTGCAAACAAAGGCAGGACTCCCAGGTCCCCGTCATTGGGAATTCACCATATGTAACAGCTGAGATACACAGATCTCTGTTGGAGAATAAGGTACAGGAGACACGCAGGTCTCAATAATGTATGAAGCAAAACATACATTCACATCTATTATAGAGAATGTATAATGGTGCAGCACGTTTGTCCCATATGGATTATAAGTGTCAGCACAAAGGCTCCTAGAGCATGCCCCTACGTAGAGATAGCATTGCAAGGCTATGGCATGGGCAAGACAAAGCTATAGGGCCCAGGATAGCTGCTGGGGCACCTTGCCTCCTTTCAATAATCCTTGCATTGTGGGGGGAAGGTGGCCAGAGGATCAAGAGGAAGAAGGGAGAGTAAAGAAGTAAGGAATGGAGAAATATTAAGGGAGGGAAAGAGGGGAAAAGAGAGAGGGAGAGAGAAAAGAAAATCAAGAAAAGAAAATCTATATTTGTAGCCGAGTCACACTGAGGTGTATCGAAAAAGAATTTAGATTGCAAGTTGGCAAACCAGGCAGGCTAGGCTAAAGTTGCAAAGCTTACGTAAATCCCTAGAATATTGCGTGCATACTGAACTATCACAATCTGTCTCCCTCTTGGAAGGTATAAACTGTCAAATTAATGTAAGAGCGCCTGAAGTGTTTCTTATGTTGATCTGCTTGAGCACATGACTGGCCATCATATTAAAAACATAATTACCTAAATCCAGACAAAATCCCAGCCCCAGTAAAGACAGTAAAGATATAAGGCAATTACTATGTTGGATAGAATGTCTGCCACAGCTTTACAAATAATTAAAAAAGTAAACAATATAATCACTAATTATTTACCACTTACTAAAGTCACTCACTAAGGTCACTCATAGCAACATAACTCATCCTGATATAATGACTTAATGTCTTTATATATATATATATCTATAACACTGGGCACAAAATTTCAAGTCCAACAACTCCTACTAGCCAGCTCTAAAGCTTACTTGCCCTGCAAACCTTCTTTACCTCAATAAAGAAACCGGAGTGCTAAATTAACTAAACTTAATATGAAGCAAATAAACGTAAAAATAGTGAGAAAGGTGCCTTCAAGAGCACCCGGTATAGATAAAGTAAGGAAAACTATACACTAGTTTTCCGGTTCTCTGTTTGATAACATTAGGACTTTGTTTCTTTTCCTTACTTTATCTATACCAGGTGCTCTTGAAGGCACCTTTCTCACTATTTTTACGTTTATTTGCTTTATATTAAGTTTAGTTAATTTAGCACTCCGGTTTCTTTATTGAGGTAACCGGCACATCATTGCCAGTTACACTTTATGGATTGACAATCTGATTCCCTTTTTACCGGAGACCGGTGAACGGACTGGATGTGTATGGACAGGATATGTAGTGGTATTCCCACAGGTTGCGGCTATTTACTCCGTGTTAGTTACTTCAGTTGATACATGGACATAATACTGTATCGGATCTGGTTATGATACATTGATAACAACTTAAGTTGATACACACTGCATAGCTTTCCAAGTGAGAGTCCAATTTATTTTGCTTAGTTTTGTTTTTCACATTTTTCGTTATCATTTCTCACCTTTTATTGTGTGCATATTTTTGCTTGCACTGCCGTAATGGACTTCTCGATTAAGTCAGGCAGTCATAGCTAGGGTATATGTGTTTTTGGTTTAATAATAAAGTATCTTCGAGATTTTGAATTATGATTAGTTAATCCATCGTATGTCATACTTGATAGTGTTGGAACAGATTTTCGCCTATTTTTAGTATATTTCAATAGCTAGAGATTGAGGTGTGTAGGGAAAGACAGATGGTGGGGTTAATAGTCGTCAAGTGTTATTTAATATGTTTGAAAAAAATGTAGCAAAACAACTTTTTCGAACATAGCCAATTTGTATTGCTCTTGTTTTTTGTTGTTTTTTTTTTTTTTTTTGCATGTAAGCAAAAGATAACACAAAATATTAACTGGACATTATTTTCAAATTATCAGTCCTATCACCACTGTATAATTGTTTTGTTTGTTTCTTACTATAATAAGTGAAAACCTATTTAGACTATTTTTTACATCTTGAAATCATTGAAATATGGTCAGGAAAAGTATTTCTTATTTTTTTTATATATACAATTAACACCATAAATGTATCACATATTATTTTACATTTCACCATCATACTAAATGCTTTGTCCCTGTAATCTAAAGTTCTATTTTGGAAAAATCACATCAATTCCCTCACTTTCTACTCTTTACGTTTCCAAAATGAAAAATAAATATCTATTTATAAATGTTTCGTGATATTTCAAACATGTTGTTGCTGCTTTTCAAAAATAAATCTGATGTTAGAGGGAAGAATAGTAAACCTTGCAATATTTATATTTCATTTTCTTTGTCAACAAACTTCTTGAATTGTCCGTTTTAAAAATAAATCAATATTTTGCTTTTGTCTGTGTATTCACCAGCTGATGTTTGTAGCTAACACCGAATATTTGGTCATAATTGTAAACAGATGGTTTTCTGAGACGTGTTTTCATGTGAAATGTTATCTTTGTTCAAATTTATACCTTCCAAAAACGGACAGAGTGACAAGGATAGGTTGGTCAGTAACATCAAAATCTCTACTTCTAGAGGCACATTTGACACCTCTGCTTTTTTCTGCCCGACTTTAATTTCAGAAAATCATTCCCTTCTGGTGATTGTATATTTTTAGAGAGTGCTACTAGTAATTTAAGAATAAGAGAAGCCATATCTTGCTTGCATTTCCTTTTATTTTATTTTATTCAATTTAAAAAGAAATGTATTATAGTAAATTACTACTCTATTAGCAACCTCTTTCAGACCACAAGATAGATTATTAATTAACAGTACAATACACGGTGTTCAGTGTCTGCCTAAAATAAAATTATATACAAGTAAGTATTATGAAGGTCTCAGTAACATTTAAAATATGTTGTTTTCACTTTCAATATTTTGTTTGATCTAAACAAATTCAAACGTTTCTTTTAATTATGCAACAATAAGCAGCCATCTTGCTTTCCAAGCTAACCACATATCACTGTAAGTTTGTTTCTTATGATATTTCACAGCTCAGTAAAATGCCTTTAAAATAAATAAGATTACAAATATATAAATGCAATGTCACTTATATAGCAAAGAAAACATCATTGTGCTAATAGAATATGACATATTGCAATTCCATCTACACATCAAATCTCTCATCTCCCATTTATTATGGTTAGGATTAGGGTTAAGGTTTTTGGGCTTGCATTAGCCTTTGGGTTAGCCTGATCTTTGGGCACCATCACTACCTACATTCCCCTAGTCTACCGACAATTCATAAGCAGCAGATGAGATTTAAAGCTTTCTACAGTTTAATTCTAGGCTAAACCTTCATCTTAAATCTAGACTTGTTCTAACCATATTCTTCCCCTAACCATTATTCTAACACTATCCCTAACTCTGACTTTAGCCCAAATGCTAGCCATAAACCTCACTCTAAACCTCACCCTAGCCCTAGTCCAAATCCTAACCTCAACTCCAACCTAAAAGATTCTAAACATACACTTTTATTATCATCTCAGAAAGGCATTCATTTGAATAAAAGACAAGGGATATAAGGAGTTTTAAAAATTTGTTAAAGAATTAAAGAGAGAGAGGGATCAATTAACAAAAGGAGAATTGGACCAGGAGAGTGTCATAGAGTAGAGATTTGTGGGGCTATAGAGAGCAGGGAGAATATGGGACTTCGAGACTTAGAGAATGGAGGCCTTGAGATATCATGTTTTCCAGACACAAAGGAATTTAAAAGTATTATGGAATCTTTGAAACTAGGGAGAATAATTAAAGAAGCTTGGGTGGGTTAGAGAGGCTGCACGTAGATGATAAATCAGAGAAGATGTTTTGGAAGGTAAGAAAAGTAAAACAAAATACCAAAAAGAAACTAAAATAAAAAAAACGAGGAGAAGAAAAGCAAATGATGGGAAACAGAAATAAGGAAAAAAAATAATATGGGAAGAGAGGGAAATGAGAATAGAGCAACTTAACAGGACAATGTAGGCACTGTAATTAGTTCATCTCATTGAAGCTGTTTTAATGTCTGGACTCGCCCAGTGTCATCCTTCTGTTCAGTGTCCAATTCAATATGATAATATAGTGCCCATAGTGTCCCTTTAAGAAAAAGAGTTTGGAAAAGAAAGTGGAATTGAGGGGTTCTGAAGAGTTATTTAAACTGGCAAAATCAGGCAAGAATAACACAGAGAACAATAAAACAAAAGAAATAATACAAAATGGATTTATGATGTCAACACACATTTACATTGTATGCCACACTGTGCCACACTGTGCCTTAACAGCCTTCTAATATAAAATAAAAAGTAGATGTCAGGAGTAATATTTTGTGTCCAAAATATTTATATACACCATATGTTCTTAGCACCAATGAAAAGATATATAGAGTCCAAATAGGAATATCGAAACATGGGTCACCTCATAATGATACAAAGTAAATAGAAAATGGGCACCTGTTTTTGGAAAAGAAAATCTGCAGTTCATTTGGTCAGAAAACTTTCCCCGCTTCTTATTATAGGGATTTAGTGGACCTGATTGTTTGATGTATTGTAGAAGTCGGCAACTGCTTGGCATTTTCTGAAATAAAGCAGATGTTAATAATTACATCTTGTGTGATAAATTATTTTGTTTAGATAGCTGCTTAAAAAAAAAAAATACTCTGTTTAAGACACACACATAGTGGGGTTATTAAATAAAGCCATCGTTTATACCAGAAGTAATAATAAAAATAAAAAAAATAAGACATTTTGTTGAATTACACAATGGAGTATGTCTGGGCATTATTATTATTTTTTTTAAACACATTAAAATAATATAACAGCTTTATTAATCATAATTGTTTTTTCTTTTTAGAAGTGTGATTCACATGTACATTTACTTCATGCTACAAAATGCTATGACGTGTTCTCAGCATGCGATAGGGTATCACTATGTCAGATCACAGTAAGCAACCAAGTGATATGGCGCATATTCATGTGTGTTCACAGCATGCTACAGAGTATTACCATGTGTGTTACAGTGTGCTACATTGTGTGTTGTCAGCATGTTACACAGTGCTACAATGTGTGATTACAGCATGCCATAAAGTGCTACAATATGTGTTTACAGCATGCCAAAAAGTGCCTCAATGTGTGATCACAGTATGCCACACTATGCTACAATGTGTGATCACAGCATGCCACACTATGCTGCAATGTGTGTTCACAGCATGCCACACTATGCTGCAATGTGTGTTCACAGCATGCCACACTATGCTGCAATGTGTGTTCACAGCATGCCACACTATGCTACAATGTGTGTTCACAGCATGCCACACTATGCTACAATGTGTGTTCACATGAAGCTACTGAGTGCTACAATGTGTGATCACAGCATGCCACACTATGCTACAATGTGTGCTCACATGAAGCTACAAAGTGCTACAATGTGTGTTCACAGCATGCCACAGAGTGATTCAATGTGTGTTGCTGACAGCATGTTACAGTGTGCCACAGTACATTATCACTGTATGTTACAGAGCCTTACAATGTCTATTCACATGATGCTATGATGTTCACTATGAATGAGAGCTGACAATTTGAGGAGCATCTTGTCCCATACGTGAAGTGTTGTGGTTTGAGCTACAGCAGTGGTGGGGTGTGGGGTCTGGCTTGTTTAAGAAGCCAAAAATAACAGCCTATTGGGGCATGCAACTGTTGGATTTGTGTTAATTATGCTGTGTGATAGTAGTGAGGAAAACATGGTCTATTTGAAATTGTAAGTTTTTATATCTGTTCGTTTCAGTACAATTGGTAATGGTTGGAACAAATATAGAAACTTCAGTAGTAGCATCATTTTTAAAAGAGGGTATCTTTCACAGCCATGACATTCCAAGAGTTTAAATCTTGTTCAGTTTTTCTCAATAAGGGAGAATAATTTCGATCTTATGTATAGTTTAGATATGAGAGCAATGCCCCAAGATTTTGAAGAGATTTTGGATGGATCAGAAGGTGACTTTATTGTGTTAGTTTCCATCAATAGTACATCATCGACATATGCACTGATTTTGTTGTTTTCTCCTCAAATTTTAGGATCCTGTTATTGATCCTTTATTCCTGACCCTTTGTAATAATGACTCCAGAGACAGGGCAAACAGCAAATGTGACAATGGGCAGCCCTGCC